GGGGGGATTAATGACGCGAACATGTGGGCGGGGCCATAGGTATGGCGGGAAAGGCGGGGCCAGAAAGTTTGCCCTGGCCCGGGGCGGGCCTGTGGCGTTCTCTACCGGGTGGAGACTGAAACTTTTACCTAGAAAGCCGCGGCGGGCGGGGAAGTTTTGTCCGCGCTAGGGCCGGTACAGTTTCCCCTGGGACGTCAAGCCAGACCCAGGAAGTCTCTCCAGTGGGTACCGGGCCTGTTAGCGGAATCTTTGTGGGAGTGCGGGGAGGCAGCGGCACCTTTCTTAGGATGCTGGGGGTGGAGCTAGAACATTCCTGAGTGTAGGGGCAGCAAATAGGAATGGGGTTCGAACTGTATTGACTGTGGGGTTATAAGACGTTTGTGAAACTCCTGGGAAAGAGGCATATGTAGACTGCTAACGGGGATGTGGGCGGCACCGGAATGGGCACAGGGAGTTGGGCCTAGAACTTTCTTGTGCAGGTTGGGGCAGAAGCTCTACCTAAAGCTCTCCTGGGATAGAGGCCCGGGTTTAAACTCCTAGCACAGAGGTGTGGAGACTGACCTAGAATTTTCGTTTTGAAGGGAGCAGTATGGGATGTTTTCCTAAGAGGTGGGGCGGGACCAGAACTTTCCCAAGGTGGGTGTGATTACATTGTTTTTATGGGAAATGGGTGGGTCCAAAACGTTTCAGAGAGGACTGAGTCCAAACATTTCCAGGTAAGGGGCGGGCTAGCACTTCAAGAAGAAGGTGTGGGAGTGAGGGCTGACATTACCTTGGAGTGCAGGTGTTTGTGTGCGCGCGTGCAGTGTGTGCGTTAGAGGAGCCCCCGTCATGGCAGAGGAGGAGACAGATTGGGTAGTCATTGGCCTTAGTCCTTCTGTTCCCTCTGACCTCAGGAACCCCGAGTGCTGTGTCCAGATTCTGCAGGGAAGGTTTGCTGGGACCCTGGTCCCATCCTGCCAGCGGAATGGTGAGAAGGAAAGTGGGGTCTCTGGGATCTGAGCTTTGGGGCAGGGGCCTTGGGAGGAGGGTACCCAGGTTCCTGACTCTCAGACACCAGATTGAATGGCACTGGGGTGGGTGTAGGTTTTCCTTACTGTCTCTGAACTGTCTCCCCCTCTCAGTCGGCCACACTGGATCTGAAATCGAAGGAGGAGAAGGATGCTGAGCTAGATAAGAGGATCGAGGCTCTTCGGCGGAAGAATGAAGCCCTCATCCGGCGCTACCAGGTGCCCTAGCCCCGCCCTGGGAGACCCCATCCCCTCTCCTCCCCGCAGTGAGTTTCCCTCACCTCTCCCTTCCTTAAAACCTTTTCATGACTTTTCATCACTCTCGGGATAAAAGCCAAAGGCCTTAGCCTGGGATCCCTTCTTTCATTCCATCACTCATTCATTCATTTGTTCACAAGCATTCTCCAGTGTCTTCACTGCACCAGGCCCACTGCTGAGTGGTGCTGGGGAAGCAGCAGTGATGGAGATGGCCCTGGGCCCCGGGCCTCACAGGCTGGTAGGGATCCAGCTGTGGCTTCAGTCAGTGATGACAGAGTGGGCAAGGCTGGGATGGAGGAGTTCAGGGTTCTGTGGGAGCCCAGAGGGGGCTCTTCACCCAGCCCGGGGGATACTAAGGGGGCTTCCTGGAGGAGGGGATTCTGAGACCTAAAAGGTGAGTAGACCATTAGCCAGTCAAAAAGGAAAGCATAACACGTTTCGCACAGAGGGAACAGTTTGTGCAAAAACTTGGAGCTTAAAGTGGGAGGGTCAGTTGGGGGATACTGACCTGGAGTGATCATCTGGGGCCAGGCCACGCAGGGCCCTGAACACCCCCAGGCCAAGAGTTCGGACTTTTTCCTGAGGACACTGCGGAGCCTTGGAGGGCTTTGAGGGGGTGGGGCCAGGTCAGAATGCCTTTTTAGGAAGACCCCTCTGGCTGCTGTGTGGTGGTGGGTGGGAGGAGGGGATACTGGAGACAAGGAGGAAGCTGGGGCAGGGACTTCAGTGGGGGACGTGGAGAAGAGGTGCCCGGCCTGGGACAGGGCTTTTGGGAGGGACTCAGTGACTGACGGGCCGTGGTGGGGTTAGAGAGGAGATAGGGTCCAGGACGAGGCCCCTGTGTGACAGGGTAGGTGGTGGGGCTGTCCCTGAGATGGGATGAGGAGTGGGTTTCATTTATTCATTCTTCATGCGTTCGTTCATTTAAAACAAAAACAAAAACATACTGAGCCTCTGTTGTGTGCCAGGCAGTGTTCTAGGCTCGGGGTATACATCAGTGAACAAAACAGGCAGACGATTAGCAAAATACACATAACGCAGGGTAGTGATGGGGGGAGGGGGAGGGGTGAGAGAATGGCAGGGGAGCTGGTCAGGGAAGGCCTTCCTGAGAAGAGGACTTTTGAGCGGAGACCTGAAGGAGGTGAAGGACTGGAGGGTCTCTGGGTGAAGAGTGTTCCCGTCGGAGGGAACAGCGGGTGAAAAAGGCCCTGAGGCAGGTTTGAGCCTGGTAGGTTCCAGGAACAGTAAGGAAGTCAGAGTGAGGGGAGAGAGCGGGAGGTGAGTTCATGGTGGTAACGAGACCAGACTCTGTAGGGCCCTGTCGGCTGTGGGGAGGCCTTTGGCTCTGACTCAGAGATGGGCACACAGGAGGGTTCTGAGCAGGGGAATAGCCTGGTGGAGTTTGAGGGAAGATGCTGAAGTGACCAGCTTTCTTGTCTAGAGCTCCAGAGAGAGGTCTGGGCTGGGGCAGACTTGGGAGAAGTTCAGGGGGCTGTGGGAATCCAGCTGGTACAGAGGACCCCTGACACTCCCTATCTCTGTTGTTTGCTCCTAGGAGATTGAGGAGGACCGTAAAAAGGCTGAACTCGAGGGAGTAGCGGTGACAGCTCCCCGGAAGGGCCGCTCAGTGGAGAAGGAGAATGTGGCAATGGAAATGGTGAGCTCCACGCCGGGGTGGGGACTCGTGAGTACAGGGCGGGGGCGAGGGTTGAGAACTAAAGGCCTTCCCAGCTGCCCAGACCGGTGGGAGCCTTGATCCTGGCAGCTGCTCTCTGGGCCTGGGATGTCCCCGCCTCCCTGCCCCAGTGACTGTACTTTCCCCCCCTTCCCCCTTTCCAGGAGAAGAACCTGGGTCCCTCCCGGAGGTTTCCTGGGACCCCTCGGCCCCCAGGGGCCAGCAAGGGAGGCCGGATCCCCCCTCAGCATGGAGGCCGGGCAGGCATGGGCCGGGCAGGCACGGGCCGGGCATCCCGCAGCTGGGAAGACAGTCCTGGGGAGCAGGCTCGAGGAGGAGCTGGGGGCCGCGGCCGGAGGAGTCGGGCCAGGGGGTCCCCTCATCTCTCTGGAACTGGAGATGCCTCAACTGCCGACCGCAAATCCAAGGTAGGAGCCGAGCAGGGGCTGGAGTCCTCTGGTGAGGCTCCACATTGTCCTGTTTCTCTTTCTGTTCCTGCTCTCAAACGGATTGTGTCCTTCATCCATCTTTCTCTGCTTCTTTTTCGGCCCCTCCCTACAGCTCTTTTTCATCTCTTCCCTCCCTCCCTCCCTCCTCCAGACCAGTGCTTGTAGGTACTCTCCCTGTCTCTTTCTATCTCTCCTGTTTTGCTCTCTGTCTGCTGTGTGCTTGCCCACCTGCCTTTCCTTGCCCGTCTCTCTTTCTTCTCTTTCTGGTGCCGTCTGGTGGGCTCTGTCCAGTAGCGCATGCGTGCGCGCTTTTTCTTGCATGTGTGCGTACGCACGTGCTCTGTGTCACTCCCCGGATTTGTTGGTGGGAAACAGTGATCTTCTTACTGTAACTACTCCCAGTGCCCTACCACGCACGTTAGCAGAGTGGGAGGCTGTCTGGCATGGTGGCTGAGGGGTCAGCCTTCTTCTGTTAGTTCCCTGTCCTTGGGCAGCTCACTTCCCCTCTGGGAACTTCCTGGTTCTCACTCTTAAACGGGAATGAAAATCAGGTTTAAAGATTATTGTAAGCATCATGTGACATCAGACATTGAAACCCTCAGAGTAAGCGCTCAGTGAGTGTTATTTAAGGATGGTTATTATTTGTAGGTGCTAAGCTGTTGTAACTGAAAGACCCCAAAATGCCATGGCTTCAGTCAAATGGAAGTTCATTTCTCTCTTGTATGCTGAGTCCTGGAAATGCCACATGCTCATATAAAATTCTGTTACCTTGGAAGGAGAGGAGAATGGATTGTGGGGGTCACCTGGCCACGTGCCGAGTTATTACTGTGGCATTGTTACCGTGCCAGCCATAGTGTGCTGGGGTTCCCACCCCTCTCCCAGGTTCAGAGTTTTGCTAGAAAGATTCACAGCTAAGATTTATTACAGGGAAAGAATACAAAGCAAAATCAGCAAAGGGAAAGAAGGGCCCATGGGCCGAAGTCTGGAGGATACCAGGTGCCAGCTTCCAAGAGTCCTCGCCCAGTGGAGCCACATGGGCTGCACTTAATTCCTCCGGCATTGACAATACGTGTCAGAGGTCATCGACTGGGGACTCATTAGGGACCTAGTGCCCAGGCTTTTTATCCGGGGCTGGTCATGTAGGTGCCCTCTGCCTAGTACACGCACAAATTCCAGACCCCAAACGGAAAGCAGGCGGTCAGCACACGCTGTATTTGCACAAACAGTCGAGGTACATTGAGCCCCTTTATCGGTTGACCGGGGACACACTGAGAGCCGATGCCCAGCTGCCAGCCAGGGGCTGCCACGCATGCAGGCCTAAGAAGAGAGCCTCAGAAGGTGACAGACGCTGGGGTTGAGTGGTTCTTTCTGACGCCCTGTGTCTCTCTTCGTCCCCTCCCTCCCCCAACAAGGAGTGGGAGGAGCGGCGCAAGCAGAACATTGAGAAGATGAACGAAGAGATGGAGAAGATTGCAGAGTACGAGCGCAACCAGCGGGTCAGTGCCTCGGGCGCCCCCTGGCGGTGGGGCGGAGCCGCCCGGCCCCGGGAGCCCGCCAACACCCCCTACCTCCGTGTACCCACAGGAAGGCGTGCTGGAGCCCAACCCAGTGCGGAACTTCCTGGACGACCCCCGGCGACGTAGCGGGCCCGTGGAGGAGCCTGAGCGGGACCGGCGGGAAGGCAGCCGCCGGCACGGGCGCAACTGGGGGGGGCCTGACTTCGAGCGGGTGCGTTGCGGCCTCGAGCAGGAGCGGCAGGTGCGTGCTGGCAGCCAGGGCTCCTGGGGCCACGACATTCCTTCCGGCAGCCAGTCAATGGGTTCAGGGGTGGGGTGTGTGCAGAGGGCCGGATGTGGCGCAGGGGACACAGAGCAGGGAGAGGCGGCAGCCCTGCACGCCCCGCCCCGCAAGTGATATTGTCGGTTCTTGAGCCAGCGCCACACTGCTTTCCTTCCGAAGCTTTCTGGTGTGTTTTGGCGATGTTCTCTCATTACTAACGTTAGTGATATTTACTGGGCCCCTGCCGGGGCCAGGCACTGTTTTGGGTGCTGGGGCTAAATCAGTGACCGTGTAATAAGATGTCAGGTAATGGCAAGTGTAGAGAAGAAAACTCCAGCCCAGCCGGGTCAGGGGACAGAGGAGAGAGGGATGCTACTAAGAGACAGAGACCTGGGATGGCCTCTCTGAGGAGGTGCCACATGGGCAGATGTGGCTTTGATCTTCTCCACGTGTGACCTTGAGCCGGTGGCTCTACCCCCTCCCCCCAGCTTAGAGGGCCTGGGGGAGGGGGTGTGGCGGTGGAGGGTTGTGGCTGGGTCCTGACTGCCTGTCTGCTGGGGGCAGGGCCGCCGGGCCGGCCTGGGTGGCGCTGGGGACATGACGCTCTCCATGACGGGCCGAGAGCGGTCCGAGTACCTGCGCTGGAAGCAGGAGCGGGAGAAGATCGACCAGGAGCGGCTGCAGCGGCACCGCAAGCCCACCGGCCAGTGGCGGAGGGAGTGGGATGCTGAGAAGACTGATGGCATGTGAGTCTCCGCCCTGCCTGCCCCTGTTTGGCTTCTCGACCTCGGCCCTGACTTCTGACTCCTTTGCCTGTCTCTGGTTTCTCACCCTGTGTATCAGTTAGCAGTTGCTAGGTGATGCTGCATAACCACCACCAAATCTCAGGGACGCATGAAAGCATTTCTTTCTCACGTGTTCACAGGTCTCCTGGGTTGGGCTGATCCAGGCTGGACTTGAAGCTGTGGGTCTACCTGGGTGTGCCTTCCCTTCGGGCTCCCTGGGGACGTGGCACTGGCAGATGTGCAGGAGGGAGAGTGGACACACTTCCCTATTCTGTTAGCCAGAAGACCCTGCATTGCTGTGGCAGGAACTTAAACTCTGCCCACTCTAGTGGGTGGTACTGCAGTGGCTACATGGCCAAGGGCACAGATGTGAATTCTCACACAGGGAGGGCATGAAGAGTTACATATAGTGATTACATCTCTGCATCCTCCCTTCATCCCTCTAACCTGTTCCCCACCAACTCAAACTCCTTATCCCGGTGGCATTATTATCCTCAGGTCTGACTCTGTCCCCTTTCGGGTCCCAGGAAACATCCCGTTAGTCAAACTTAAAGCAAAGGCATCATCCTTTGCCTTTGGATGGAGCACTGACTTCCATAGCGAAGACAGAGAGGTTCTGGAAGAGCCGCCCAACGGCAGTCTTAAGGTCAACAGCTGTAGTTTTTACATCATCCTGTATCCTCTGCCGTGGCGCTGGCTGAAGAAAGAGGATCTTGTCTGTGTGCCTGGCGGTCAGAGCATTTATCTCTAGATTGTGAGCTAAGCCTGTGCCAGCGTGAGAAATGTTTTGCACAGATACTGTAGCTGATCTTTCTAAGGTGTAGACAGGTGGGGCTTTTGGGGAGATGTTCTCAGGGTTAAGACTGAGAAAGTAATTGTTTTTCTCTTATGTCCTCAAAGCAGCCGGCAGCAAGTCTCACTACTGCACATGTGCAATGATTTCATGAGCAAACGTTTATTGAGTCCCTCCTGTGTGTCTTGGAAGGTTCTAGGTGATGGGGATATAGCCATGAGGAAAATGCTTCTGTCTTCATGGAGCTTAGAGTCCAGTGGGAAAGATGGGCAATGAATAGAGCTCATGTCAGATGCTGAAGAATGAAGCAGAGTATGGAGAGGGTTGGAGGCTACTGTTCTGGACTTAGATAATATATGTAATAATATGTGATTAGGAAGTTTAGGAAAGCCTCCAGACTGAGGGCTGAAGGAGGTTAGGGAGTGTGTCGCTGAGAGATCTGAGGAAGAGCAAAGGCCCTGAGGCAGGAGCTCCATGTGGTAGGAGAACTTGCTTAGCTGGGGAGGTGAGAAAGAGTGATAGGAAATGAGGCCGGACAGGGAGCTGGGGATCATGTACTTTCCAAATTTTTGTTCACGGGCAGGCAGGCTGTCAAATACTGAATTTTTTTCTTCTGTATTTGTCACTATGATGTCAGATTTGCCCCTTGTCCTTCACCTGGTCCTGCCCTCCTTTTAGTCAGTGACACTCCTCACCTCTGCCCGCTTCTGGTTGACCACCTTGCCATCTGTGATCTTGATTTCTGACCCTGGCCCCCATCTCTCCCCCTAATCTCTTCCCACCCTCCTGTTCTCCCTGTGCCCCCAGCTGCCTGCTCACCCCCTTTCTCTTTCCCCAGGTTCAAGGATGGCCCAGCCGTGGCCCTGGAACCATCCCACCGCTACGGTGAGTGGGAGTCCTTGGCTGGGGTGAGGCAGCTGGCTGGGCCGGGGCCAGGGGAGGGGTGGGCGTGGTTTGTGCCATGCCCTCCACCCCCAACTCCCCCTGGGTTTTGTTGCAGATGACCAGGCCTGGGCCCGGCCTCCCAAGCCCCCCACTTTCAGGGAATTCCTGTCCCAGCACAAAACTGAGGTCAGCCGCAGAAAGAGGAAGAG